GGGTATTTCCTAGTTCCAAGATCTATTGTAAACGTATTTTACAGGGTGTTTCCCAATGATAGTTTTTTTAAATTAGTCCATAGTTTCGCAATGCACCAAAATGTCACAGGGTGTTACGTAGCAAAAATCATTCCATTCATTCCAATTATTACAAACACCACAAGGTGTTTAAGTTGCATGAATTGTCTACAGGGTGTTTCCAAGTGCCTCAAATTGTGTTTCATAAGTAAATATCTAAGTTTAATGAAATGAAGCACAGGGTGTTACATAGTTTATCATTTCTCTATACACCAATGTGTCACAGGGTGTCAAGTAATAAAAATCATTTCATGCATTCATTACACTGAATTAATGCACTACAGGGTGTGCTTAGCAGACTCCAATAGTCTAAAGGGTGTTCTCAATTTCTCTATAGTCGAATCTAAACAAGTTTCGTAATGCGCTAATGGGTTTCCAACGAAACTCAACTAATTCATTGGACAATGAATATGCATATTTATAAACAAATATTTGCATGTATTTTTGGCTAACTCTATGTAGAGTTTTGCCACTAATTTGAGCATATTTAGTAGCTAAAAGAACCGAATTTCTAGACCCCGTGTATTGTTATTAAAACACGCACCAAAGCGTGACTGGGTTTGGACTGGCACAGGGACACTCAATAAAGCAACAATGAGTAATTATTAGAGATCAGACAATGATAAGTATTAAAGAGTGACGATTACCCAGGCAAATACTAAATAGACTATTAATGAACAATCGGATACTTCGAACACAAAACAGATTCGTTCAATTGTTTGGGTAATAATGGAGAAAGTCTGTATATATAATAACAAAATATTATACAGAGCTAAGAGTGGGTCTTAAAACAGGGTGTTTCATAGTTAAATACGAATCGATACAAATAAAACAGGCCACTGTGTGTTTAGTCTTAGATAATAACTTTCACAGTTAAATTTATCTAAGTTCACACTGTAAGGCCAACAGGGTGCTTCATCTCAATTACTCATTGAAATGAGCACTGGGTGCTTCATAGATAGACTCGCAAGTGTACTTTAAATGATCAACAGGATGTTTCATGTTGATTAATCAAATCGCATTACTAATTAAATTGGGCGCAGAGTGATTTAAAGTTAAAGAATGAGACACACTCATTGATTTTTAAAGTTTCCCAAATCTCTACATTTGGGAGAGTTTAATAATCAATGAGTAATGAGAAGTTATTAACTAAGGTGATACACCCTGTGTCTCATTTTTTAACTTTAAATCACTCTGCGCCCAATTAAATTAGTAACACAGGGTGTTTCATAATAACAAAATGCTTTTCATTACTCATTGAATTAACATTTAGAAAGACTCAATTTTAAATTGATTAAGATTCCGAATGTTTCATCTCAGTTAACAACTTCTCATTAGTCATTAAATTAAGCGCAGGGTGATTCATGGTTAAAGACGTCCGATTAAACATTGAATCTTATTTAACTTCTCACTGCTCACTTAATTGAGCACAGGGTGTTTCAATGTTAAGGACTGTCAATTACACATTAAATGGAGCACAGACTGTTTCATCTTCGTTAATAAATTCTTATTACCCATTAAATAAAGCGCAGTTCAAGAACAGTTGAATGGTCCACAGGGTGTTCCCTTGTCGAACATTTAATCTTTTTCATTTCACTTATAAAAAACCACAGGGTGTTTCAAATTCGTTAATTAATTCTTATTGCCCATTAAATAAGTTCAAGATAACTTGAATGGTCCACAGGGTGTTCCCTTGTGGAACATTTGTTCTTCTTCATTTCACTTACCCCTCTTAAAGAATCCAAACTTGGCGCTGTAGCGCACATTTTCGAATTGAATATCAATTTTTTTGATCGTTTTGTATTGCTCGTGGGGAAAAATGGAGCCGGCTGTGCTGTTGGAGCTGTGGCTGCCGGAGCTGGTATTCTGGCTGGAGCTCTGGCTGGTGTTAAAGCTCTCCGGTGTGAGCGGGGCGGCGGGCGCGGCAGAGCCAAGGGGTGTGCCATAAATGGAAGAGCTGGCCGAGAGCGCAATGCTCTCCGGCTCCGCGAGCGGCGCATCGTGATCAAATGTTGTTGTTGTTGTTGTTGCTCTTGTTGTTGGAGGTTGGATGTTCAATGTCAAATGTGGCGGCCGCTTTGTGTTCAGCTTCTTGGCGGGCACGGGCGTGGTTGGACGAGCTTTGTGCTGTTGATAATCAGTCGTTGTCGCCCTGTCAATGTCGGAGGCCGAGGCGGAGGCTTTGAGATTGTTGAGCCTGATGACGTCACCGACGGCGGCGCCCGACACCGTGGGCGAAACGGCGCTGGCCAAGCTCCAGCTGGACATTTTGTTGTTTTCGTTGTTGTTTGTTAAAAACTTTGACGTTTGTTGCGGCCGCTTTGGTCATCAAATTGCAATTACTTGTTACTTTTAATAATACTTGTTTTTCTTTTTGTTTATTTTTTTTTAACAGCACTCTCGCGTCGAGTGCAAGTCGAAATTTGTTTAAATTTATTCTAATTCCCTTTGCACTCAACACTTTGCTCTGTCTCCTGTCTCACTCGCTCTTGCTTGCTTTGCGTGCCTGTTAAGGGCGCGGCATGAAACAAAAAACAAAAAATTTGCATAAATAAATTTTTAGGCTGGAAAAAAAAATGCTAATAAAAAACCGAAATGTTTGCTACACGCGTCGATGAGTTCGGTCTGTTTATTTGTTTTTGTGCTGCTTATTGTGGTTTCGCATACATATGTATAAAGAAATGAAATGAGCGGCGCGCTCTTAAAAGCCTTTTGTGTGTGCGCGTGTGTGTGTGTGTGTGTGGGTGTGAGAGTTCATTAGCTTTTTAACTGACGGACTGATAGCGAGACGAGAGCAGGGCGCTGCTGCCACTGCACTGTTGCTAATCAGAACTTGCCCCAAAACGAGTAGGCAGAAAATAGCTCAAAGAGAGCAAAAGCGGTTTGTTGTTATTATTCTGCTTTTCGATTTCTTTGCGATGACAGCTGCTGTTGTTGTTAGCTGTGCTTTGTCCTACACGTGTTGCTTATTAGGGCGCGCTCTTGTTTACGAACAGGGTTTGCTCTTATTTCTGAAGTGCTCTTAACTGAAGCGGATCCTGTGTAATTGCGCTATGCAACACGTAAAAAGTCGAACTAGTGCATATGCGACAGTCTCCCTCTTGCTCTCTCTGTCGCGCTCTTTATAAACAAAACACACTCAAAGCTCAAATGCACTTGACGCAGGCAAATGAATATTTATTTATATGTGTGCGTACATACATACATGCATATGTACATATATTTGCATTATAAGTATTCTTTTTTGCGGGTCTTCTGCCTTTGTTTTGCCTATCTTAACAGTGACACACATTAATATATAGTTTTTATTAATCTTTTTTTGTGGCTGTTGTTTGTAAGTGCTTTTTGTCTTACTTTTAATTGCTGTTAAGTGTTGAATCTTTTACTTTAACTTTTACTTGGTTACGCTTTGCACACACTTTCATTCTCATTCTCTTTGCACTGCTGAGCGCCAAAGGCCAGCCGATTACCACATCCATATCTATTTATCTACTTGTGTGTGTGTGTGTGTGTGTGTGTATGTGTGAGTGTGTGTGGATCTATCTTCCTGTTTTTTTCGGCCTATTTCATATATGTCATTTGCTAGTCTCTATTTCAATTGGCCACGCTACTGTTTAACACACACACACACACACAGACACAAACGCTAGTTCTTATTAGAACATCAAGGTAACATTGTGTTAAATGTGAACGTGTTGCTTGGCCTCTTTTGCGGCTTATCGCGATTCTTAAATGTGTTGCACTGAACCTCAATGTAAGCCACAAATATTGTTTTTCGATTGATTGGTCAAAAGTTACTGATTAGAAAAACTAGCTCTTTTGTTATTGTTGTTGTAATACAATCTGCGCTGATATGACACAAAACACACACACACACACACGCACACGCACAAACACCCGACGCTTATTTGTCGCACACACAAATTACATTTTTAATACATAATTATTGTAATAATCTATTTACTCGAATTTCAGCGTTTCACGTTTAATAATCGCCTTTTGTATATTTGTTATATTTTTATATATATATGAGACAGCGTTCAACTGGCGACGAACGATCCTCAGCGCCCGTTAACATGGCACAGACTGTTTTCATATATGAAAAACTGAAAATTATATTCTGCTTGTTGCCCATTATCTCGCCCGCTCACGCTCGCTCTGACTCTCGCTGCTTAGCTCTCTCTCTCTTGTTTTACAGTGGCGCGCTGAGTTCGCTTATCGGTCGTGTGCGACCCCTTGCAGTGAGCAGCTGACAACGCCGCTGTGTTTATTTATGTTCGCTTCATCGAGCGCTGCCGTTGCAGGGGGTGTGTTTTTCTTCTTGCACTCAGTGCATGTTATGTTGTTGTTGTTTTTTTTACGACACATTTTTTTTTTTTTTCAATTCAGGGTTTGTTGCAGATTCTTTTGTGGTAGGCCCACATTGCACACTGCTCCTTTGTCCCAGCCCCAGCAACAGCAGCAGCAGCAAAACAAAGCACGCAAAACTAGTTTGACCAGTTATGAGTGTAAGAGACACAATGAGAGAGAGAGAGTGAGACAGAGCGCGTCGTTAATCGCCTGACTGCAATGAAAACATAAATATTATCAGCTGTTCCTCAAACAAAAACAGTCAATGTATTCTTCTTGATATTTTTCATTAACAACTTTAATATTAAATTATTGAATTTGTGTACATAAAAATGGAAAGAGCAAGTTAATTTTCTCAGTTAAATTGCTTATAATCAAAATATTTAAATATTTGCGCCCAGTTTATATTTACATCGAATCTGGTTGCCTATCGAAATACTGTTGCTATGTGCACAGACGGTCACACTGCTGTATCGATTTAACAGTTCTGACAGCTCTGTTAAAATCACAGTTAATATTGAACATTGTAACCGATGTGATGTCTGATATAAATAGAAAATTGCAAGATATATTAAACTAAAAAATTATATAGTGAAAAATGTGGCCAATAGTTGAAATAGTTTTGTAGAGTTATTTTTGTGTAATTAAATTCAAAATCTGCTGCGGCAGTAAAAACATCGATAACAACATCGATAGACGGCGTACGTAAAGAACTTCAATCGCGCTACAGCTGTGCTCTGACAATCTTGCTGAAAGTTTTTCTATCAAGCCGCAGCCGCCGACGCAAATAGAAGCAGGAAAACGGACAGAAAGAAAGAAGCTAAAACTTTTGTATTTTTTTAAACCATACAAACAAAGCCAAATATGACTGATATGCGCAATGAGATGGACAGCGATCTGGATCAGAATTACTCGCTGAACAGCAATGCGGATCCCAAGAATATGCAGGAGCTGACAATCTATGTGAGTAATGCAAAAGCCACGACTAAATTGCAGTAAATACAACAGCACGCCACCGCCCACCTGCCGACGCTCCCTCTCCCCCCCTCTCTCCGTGCGTGTGTGTGTGTGTGTCTGTTATCTATTAGGTACAAAATCTCTTGCAGAACGTACAGGATAAATTCCAGACGATGTCGGATCAAATCATCACGCGCATCGATGATATGGGCAATCGCATCGATGACCTGGAGAAGAGCATTGCGGATCTGATGAATCAGGCGGGCGTCGAGGGAACGGCCCCTGAGAAATAATAAGTGCCTGAGATATCTAGTGCCAGTGCCACGCCCATAATCATGGCAAATATATTGCATTCAAAGCACATAAAGCATATACATCGAACATACATACACGCACACACACTCATGCACACACACACACACGTATACTCACATTTATAACAATTCCAGCATTCACATCCCATGCACCGCATGCAATTGCTCTCAAACTGTAAACACACAAAAATCAAAAACCAAATTTTGCTCATTTCGTTTTTTGCATAGTTTTAAGTTGTCAAAATTAAGTTAAGTACATTTTTTGAAAGTTCATTGTTTTCGAGGCAAGGCAGCAATTTCGAATTATTGCCTTTCAGTTTTTATTACAATTAAAAATCGAGAATTGTACACCCAAAAAAAAAAACAAGAACAGAAAACCTCAATTCATGTCAAACTGTATGGTTTAAGCACGCTTCGATTCAACAACCGTCACCAGGCGACGTCCTCCGCCGGCTGCCACCTCAGTTACTATCCCCGCGCCGCGTTCCGTGCGCGGCTTCCTGAACGCCGCCTGCAACGAGAGGGTGCGAGAAAGGGGGAGGGGAGGGGAGGGGAGGGTTTCACCTGATTAGTTATGCATCTAACATTTGTGATACCCTTGCAGAGGGGAATTTGAATTTTTCGTCTAAGATGTCTCCAAGAACTCAAATTATTTATAATCTCGATCGGTTTTAAAAGTTGAATCAATCTGTTTTGTTTCTATGCAAACTTAGTCCCCTAATTATAAAGCAATCTTAATGTAACTTGGAATTATTTTTCGTCGGGATCGTATAACTATATCATATAATTTTTATCGGAACTATCGCTCGAAATATATAAAAGATATTTCATGCAGGTCTACATAACGTATAAATGGAATATCAATATCAGATCGCTATAGCATATACATAGCTATATTTAGAAACAAACAGTTTTAAATTGAGTTTTTATAGGAAAAACTTTGGTTTTTCAATATATCTTGTCCAATATTGACTTTAATGATCTATATGTATATATAAACAATATCTTGGGCATCGCATTATACACTATAAACAATATCAAAAAGCTCTCCTGGAAAGCAACGGAAAAGATTGTTATTTTTCAAGGTTTTGCTAAAACGAGCCTTTCTATGCGCTTCTCATTCCATCAGAATCTTAACCACAGCTAAGTACTATATTATATAGTTGCTACACGGGAACAATTGTCAATTAATTTACATTTTGTATGGAAATATTTGTCGCCCAGAAAAGGTCTGCAAGGGTATTTGGACTTCGGCTGCCCGAAGATGGGTTTGATTCTTGTTTATTTGGGATAAATAATGTGGCGTGTTTGTAGGCAAGCGGGCGAGCTATGCAAATGCGTTCTAGTTTCCTAGTTTTGGGGCACATGGAATTGCTTTTGCAATCTTACGTGCGTGGCTGCCACGGCCTTAAACGGATGCTTGACGGTCTGGCGGGCTGGCTTGCTGGCCGCATCCTTGCCGCGCGTCTTAACGCCGAATACATTCTCGAGCGGCGTTGAGGGCGTTTCCTGATCCAGTTCATCATCCGAGGCGCTGCCGGAGGCCTCTTCCTGCCCCTCCTCCTCGGCGCTTTGTTCGCTTTCCTGTTTTGGTTACAAATGATTATCGGATATGCTCTCTGCTGTGCCGTAAGCTTACCGCTTCCTCCTCGTCGTCTTCTTCTTCGTCCAGCTCGCTCTCGTCGTCCTCCTCCTCCTCCTCGCTCGGTTCGGCCTTGCTGGACCGGCTTATGCCAGCGCCAGTTAAATTCTTGCTGCTTCTGGATAGCTTATGCTGATGCTTGAGCGGACTCAACTGATCGCGCTCCAGGCTATCCATAGACTGGGCGCGCAGACCCTTCTTCAGCGTCGACTTGCGTGTGGTGGGCTCCTCTTTGGTTTTCATCAGCTTCTGGAACTGCAGAAAATCGTCGCGTTCGTCGATGTTGCACACATCGTAGTAGCTGGCGCTGAGCACCTCCAGCGCCTTGGTGTGCTGCTTCATGGCAATCAGTATGAAATCGCTGAGCACCTGCTTCACATCCCGCAGCTTGCGCTGCTCAAAGCCGCTGATGATCTCGTCGATCTCCTTGTTGGTGCGCTGCACCTCCATTTTGGTCTTGAACAGCTCCGAGTCGGCGGCGCTCTGGTGGGAGAGACCCTTTAGCACGCAGTCGCGTTTAGTTTCTGATCAACTCACATTATTGGCCGCAAACTTGGACTTGAGCTCCAGCATTTGGCGCTGGCTGAGCACCTCCTTGTCCCGGGCTATGACAGCCAGGCGCAGACTGTCCCTCGTCGATTTGCACAGCTGCTCGAAGTGCGCCAGCTCGTTGACAATCTGAAATGAAAATGAAGAAGAAAATTAGACTGTCTGTGCACTGCCTTTTGCCAGGCACTGTCACCTTCAGCTCCAGCCTGTGCACATTGATGTCCATGTAGTCGCCCGTTATGGTCAGCGCGTTGGTGAAGCTCTTCAGGCCGTTGCAGAGACTCTCGTTGATCTCCTCGTCATCGGCGTAGTTTTTAATATTCTTGGCCAGCTCGTCGTGTGCATCGCGATATCTGTATGGGTTAAAACTGTAAGCAACTTGTTAACACAATTATTTTCTCGCTAACTTGGCCATTTTCCGTGTGAGCAGGGAAAATGCTGAACACATTTCCATCAAATGACGTTCGGTGAGATTAATGCGCTCGTTGATGATTTTGATGCGATCATCTTTGCCACTCAGAAAGGAGAACTTGCCGCGACGAAACATTTTAATTCCAAATTCAAAGTGTGCCTTTTTTTATAAACACAAAATCAAAACAAAACTGTTGCCAGGACAACGCAGGGTTGCTTTATGTGGCGAACACATATATCGCTTACTCTGTTAAGTATAACATGTTGCCAAAACAGATTTTTCAAAAGTTCCCTTAATCCATCATATTTATTCAAGTTATGAAAAGTGTAACAGCTACAAAATTATTTTTCAAAGTTTTGCGGCATCAGATATGCGTCATTGGTTTTTGAATATCGATACTTTACTTAACTGCAATCGATAGTACGTAAAGGCAATAGTATCGCTTGTAGCCGCCTGTAGTGTTCCCTAGTAAACGTCAGATGGCGCCAACATCAAGCATGGTCTAGAGGGCGCCGCGAATACAACGTCTCAAGTGAAATACATTTCAAAATTCGTGTTTTTTTTTAAAGATTCGTCCAAAATGTAACCCCAATATGAACAGTGTCAGGGTCAAGAGCATGTGGCGCTAATAGCTCATGTGTACGTGGGCGACGACAGCAGTCAGCTATGGAATCGATGCTATATTTAAACACAAGATCCATGACAGAAAGGAAAAGAGAGTGAGACTGAGAGAGATACTTACATGCATACATATGTATGTATGTATATTGAAAGAGAGAAAGCAAGCCATATGTAATTAAATCATGAATCAATTCTGATCAGTTGGTCCTGACCTTGATGCCAGTTTCTTTGGAATTTAAGTGCTTCTGCAACCGCAAGAATGTTGTTGCCACAACTTGTAAAAATTCCCCGCCAAAAGAGACAAAACAAAACCAAAAAAAGTGTAATTAATTTTATAATTTGAAATGCTTTTCGCACTTAAGGCAATGCACGCCTGAACCGGTACAAAATAAAGCACAGTAAAATGTGCAGTTAAATGCGAATCCGGTTGGACAGAGAAGGCAAAACACACACGACTATATACACATACATACATACATACTCGTGTGTATGACGAGAATGAAATGTGAAGAGTCCGCGATTGTGATCCCAATCAGGGCGACAGAAGACAACAATAAAACAGATGGACTGGGCCCAGGGCGATGGAGTTGGCCTTTCGTTGTATCCTATGTTATGCATACAATGGGAATATTGTTAAATATAAATATATGCACGTATTTTGAAATCTTGGCATGTCCAGGTAAGAGCTCATTTGTTTTGGACTTTAATTCGAAATTAGTTAGTTATTTTATAAATAACAACTTTTAAGTTGAGTTCTTTTAAGCGCTCCGTAGTTATATACACTTGCCTTAGGGTGTCTGCTAGTCGAACACTCTGCAGTTTTCCAACCGTTTCTTTTTCTAGCTTCTCATTGACACACAGAGAACGTTGCTTGGCGCGCGTTCCTCGTCGTCGCTGGCGGTTTGCTATACATTTTTAATGAACAATTTTTTTTTTAATGAAGAACTTTTAATGAATTTTTTTTTGTATTATTGAAACATTTAAATTACAAATTGTAAATTCAAACTGAAGAACGGGGTACGTTCTGTCCGTAACCAAAAGTGCGCAGCCCCAGACATTCACTTTTTAAGGCACTGTGCGTGCCGTTGCATGCGTTCCAGATCTTGATCGGACGAGGCTCTCTTGATCTCTGCCCCTCCCCCCCTCGCCCACTCTTTTTCTGGCGCTCTTGCTGTCCCACTCTCTCGTTGCGTATTCTTTGTGCTTGGTCAGCTGCGTGCCTTGGTATAAATGAAGCCAAATTTGTACGCAACGTTTAGTCCGAAATTTCATCCAAAAGTCAACAGACGCGAGACCCCTGCGATCGCGCGTACAACAACAGCAGCCAAAATAACCGTAAATAAATTTGCGAATATTTGTGGTTACATACATATGTATATACATATACGTATGCGTGTACCCACTTGTTTATCATGCCTGTGTTATTTCCGTTTGATGTTTATAAACAAAAAAAAAGTCTGTTTAAAGAAATTAAATACAAAAATAAACCCATTTCTTGTGGATGAAAAGTGAAATTAAAATGTGCAAAAAAAAATGCGTTTATAAACATTGTTTATTAAATTATAAAAATCAAATGCGCGTGCGAGCCATAAACATAAATAGTGCTTAAATATTGTATTTATTTTTGCCAAATTTTCACGCTGCGTGTGGCATCAAATTTTAACTTGAATAAATTCGCATAAAGTGGTTTTAGGATCAGAAATTAAAACAAATTATAATTTTGTTAATGCCTTGAATGGAGTTCCCTTAAAAATGTTTTTTATTTTACGATTAACTTGCTCTTAAAAGATTATTAGATAATTGTTTTGTAACTGGGCTGCTGAAATGCATTAAAATTAATCGTGATTTTTAATATGCGTCCGATTTAATCGTGTCGAGCTTTGAATAGCAAATTACCAAGAATAACTCAATCATAACCAAATTAATTATATACCTGCCATAAAGATGCTTAGCCACATGCGCCCTTTAGCATTTGTTGGAAATACACCAGGAACTAAGTGCAATGAGCTAAAAGTTCACTTTGTTTCTACAAATGTTATCGATAACATCCAATCGAGCAATGTGTCTGCTTCTATAACTAAGTTGAGTGATTGTGAGTACGATGTAAAGAAGAAGAAGCAACAACTTTGAATTGTTTACAAAGCAACAACTTTGACCTTGAACTCGGTAGTCAGTCAAGCAACAACAAGTGATTATATTGCCAACAGGCTGATTGACATAATTTCTCTGAGGCTAACACTGAAAAGCGAAGCAAAAATAAACAAAACTATACAAAATAAAATAAAATAAAATAGCGAATTAAACGTGCAGCTAACGAAGCATAAACGACAATTGATTAAGCCGCAAATAAGCTTTGCAAAAAAGGGGCACATGCAACAAATATATACTAGAAAAAAATATACATACATATGCATTCATATACACATTCACATACAACAACAACTAATTGCGCATTCGCCGCGTTTGCCGCCGTTCATTCCCGTACACTGATGGCCAAATAAACATGTCCAGCTGTCAAAGCAATTACTAATTGGTTTTACTTTCACAATAGGCTTGTCTAGTTTTTTTTTAAGTAAAGAGAAGTTGCGCGAGACCTTTGAAAAGATTTGAAAGATTATATGGCGTTATAGAACTAGAAAGAATTGTTGCTTTCTGAGCGAAAAGTTAGCTGTATGCAACATTTTGAAATAAATTTCTATCGCTTTCGTATCTCCTCAAGCGACACTTTTCTGCAGCATCCAAGCCCTTTTTCGTGACGGAAGATAAGTAAGCGATCAAAGTGCGATATCGCCCATTTATCGCCTTCTTATCTTCCGTTACAAAGGTTGTTTGAATGCCCAAGCATCACTTTTCTGTAACATCTAAGCGCTTTTTCGTGAGAGATTACAAGAAAATCAATCAAAATACGATATCGCTCTTCTATCGCCTTCTTATCCTCCGCCATATTTACTGTTTGCAGGGCATGCCATTGTCTCTTTGACCTCTATCTTAGTTTACTCGTGATTACACTTGTTTTTAGTGACTTTTTCGCTGTTATTTGTTTATATCCAGATCACAAGCGATCAATATGCGATATCGCTCATCTATCGCCTTCTTATCTTCCGGCATAAATATTGTTTCCAGGGCATGACATAGTCTCTATAATCCTCTATCTTAGTTGTACTCGTAATTCCACTTGTTTTTAGCTATGGACTTATTTTGGTGACTTTTTCGCTGTCATTTATTTATATTAATAACACGCTCAACTAATTGAGTGTGAGTGCCTGCTACGAGCGTGAGTGTGAGTGTGAGTATCTCACTAGTCTCTCGCAGTGTCGCAGTCTCGCAGTTTCCCAGTCGCAACATTCTCACCTATCTGTAACGCTCAATCTGTTGCTCATTTTACTCACTGATTTCTGTCGCTTTTACGTTGCGAACGTTCTGTTTATTTGCCGTTTCCTCGACGTATTTCAGCGCATTTGACTATTGTTTGTCTTACGAAACAGAACCAAATCCGGCAACCGGTGCCAGAACAAAATATAAAAAACCTAAACAAATCAACACAGAATTTAACAAAAGTGCTTAGCCATTAAAAATAATAAAACACAAAACCAATTTGTTGAACTCAAATAAAAAACAAAAGGCAAAGGAGAAAAATATCGTGTGAAAATAAATATGAAGCTGCTGTGCGGTGTTCTGCTGATCGCGTTGGCTGTCAGCGACGTTTGGACTTTGCCAGGTGAGTTCTAGACTTGCTCGAAAACTATATCAAATAAATACTTAAAAAATATATACATATTACTATATGGCTGGTTAAAACAAGTTTGGGCGGCTTTAAGCAGGCGCTCTGACAAATATGTGTATATACTTATAAATTCCAGAAGATTTCCTCTCAACTTGATGATCATTTAAATGTTAAAATTGATAATGCTGTTGACGGCCTCTTGAACTCGCGACTGTCAGTCGTATTAACAATGCAAATTGATAAAGCCGAGCTACACTCAGCGAAAAACTACCTCGAAAGTTCTAGTATAACAGGCTCTGTGCTTTAATTAAATAATATTTCTTTACGTTCTCGTATTGTTAAAAAATAAGTTGGAACTCAACTTGATTTTCAAATAGTTTTTTTGATCTTAAAAAAACAAGAGCTTTATTTAATTAAAAAAATATTTATTACAAGAATTTGTAGGCTTAAAAAAGGCGTTGGGCATTTATTGTAAAAAAAATTGATTACAGAGGAGAATTTCGGCATTTATCAACGATAAAAAACATTTCTTAGAGAGGAAAATTTCGAGTTTGAGAAATTTGGGGCAAAACTTTACGAACTTGTTTGAATTTTCAACTCTACCTAATTTGAGTAGAAAATTTAACTTGTTAATTTCGAGGAAATAAAATTCTCTAAATAAGAATTTCGAAAACTCACGCTATTTTCGTTAAGTGCTGGAATTTTCTAGGAATTACGGCATAATGATGCTCGATTTTGATAAGAACGGTGCAGGCAACACTTGACAATCAGCAAAACTGCAAAATGCATCCTGCAGATACAAGATACAAGATGCAAGATACAAGCCAGCAGCTGCCTCATCATCGTCATGGCTGCCGCTGCCGCTGCCTTTGGCTGCCACTTGAATGCATAAATTGCAGCAGCTAAAGTTGAAGAAGCTGAATTGGTTGCAGACAGCAGGAGCAGCAGTCCAGGGGGGAGGAGGAAAGGAGGGAGGGGGGGGGGGGTGGTGGTGGTGCAACAGCAGCTGCCACTGCCACTTGAAGTTGTCAAATTTGCAGCAGTCAAATCATTTACCAGAGAAATATGCAAATTTTATGCATATTTCCGATGGACAAAAACACACGTTTTTTATTTTTATAAATCTTTGCTTAAATGCTGCTTTAATATTTCGATATCAACTAGAGATTGATGTAGAGTATAAAATCAACGAGAAACGCCAGCAAAACTTTAGTTGCATGCAAATATATTCTACACATGTATAATTTAGTAAGGGTATTTCATCTTCGCCCTTGCTCGAGAAGAAGGAAATTAAAGGAGTAAAAATGCAAACGCATACAATATATGCTGTGTTATATGTTTGCAGGGTATTCAATCTTCGACATTTCGTTTTAACAAGCTCGAAAGAAAGAAAATTAATGGAAAAAGAATGCAAACATATTCTATATATGCTTTGCTTGTAAGGGTATTTCATATTCGCCTTGCGTCTAAAATTGCTCGAGACAAAGAAAATAATTGGAATAAAAAACAATATTCGATCTCAAGGCAACTAAGTTCAACAATATCAGCTAGAAAGGCCATACATATATATTTTTATAGAAAAGAATAATAAATAATGATGGAGCCCAGGAATTGGGAAAATATAAACAAATGCAGTAATTGTTTAAATATAATGGCATTTTTGCTGTAGAATGAGATGCGATTATGTTGAATTTTGTTATAAACATGGAAAAAATGGAAAAAACCAAGATTAGATTTCAGTATGTGAAATCTATAGCCAGATCTTATGACTCATGCACAATTTAAAATATGTATATATAAATATATACTTGTGGGGCAGGCAACTCTGCCAGTTAGCGATATCAATTTGAGCCTGTAAAATGTTAGATGCATGTTAAGATGCATGTTAAGTAACAGAAGGGGTGGTAACAGGAGCATACGATAACAGAGAATAGAGTCGAGTTCGAGCTTCAGAGGGGAAGAGACGCGAGTGTGATCTCGTTGAGTATAATAAGAAGAAACGTATCACTGAACCAATAAGGAATGAATATACATATGAAGTGAATAAAAACCAATGTATTAATATGAAATTTAAGTAATTTAAGGGCTCCAGAAGATCGTTGCCTATATTTATATACTAGCGGGTATTGCCCGGCCTTGCCCGCCGAACATTTTGTGCCAACAATTTTTGATAGTACACGCCCGTGGAAAATTGAAATCTACCCATTTTGATTTCCATTTCCATTTAAAAATATGTTTTAAGTGCATCTGATGAAGAACCACGTTTTCCGCCCATGTTAGACCTGAGCTCAGAATCTTGAAGCTGACGAATAAACTTTGGTTTATAAAACCTTTGACCCGCATTTGCCACCCAAGAACGTATCAATTAAATTCTCTCAAAGATCTTTGTAATTGATTTTCAAAACCGATCCGCGATTTTTTCACACATACGGGTGGAATTCCTTCATCACATTAAGATAACTTGAGTGAAAATTTCGGCCAGTTGTGGCCGAAAAACATTCATCAGTTTAATGAACCCTCTTCTTGAGAACTGCAATTTCTTTTATTTACTTCTTGCTGTTACTTTTTTCAATTTAATATTTTTTCTTTTTATTTGTCGTGGCCTGATTTCTTTTCTCTGCTGTTGCAATTTGTCCATTGCAATTGTTCTCGAGTGGCCGGCGAAATTCTTAAGCAATTTCTCTTGCTGTTCCCTATTTGATTTTTTTTTATATATATATTTCGTTTTTTTATTTATTTGTATTTTTTGACAACATTTATGGCATTTAATTTTATGTGCTGCGTGCAGCTGGCAGCCAACTGAAATTGGGTTAATTGTGGCCATAATTCGTGTTTAAGGCCTTTTCCATGGAATATATATATATAAAAATGGGGCACGGGGCACGGAGCAGGGGCACGTACAAATTGCAACTGCATGTTGTGCAAATTGCAGTTAAATTCATATAAATCATATATTTTTTCTTATTATTGTATTTTTTGATTATTTAAACTAATAACTCGACTGTCCATAATAAATCGCTTTATAATTATATTATGCATAGTTTTATTCATTGTATAAACTTTTTGTTCATTCTTTTTTTTTTTTGGCACGGAACGCAATTTGTTTAATTTTGTCATATTTATTTATATATATATATAATTTTTATTTCGTCAATTGACATTAATTTTCGCTGTGTCCAAAATAAACGTTTCTTGAATTAGTTACGCAAATTGCGGCTAATTAGCTTGGGGCTGCGTTTTGAATAGGTCAATAGTTTTTTTAATTTGTTTATTTTGAGGGCGGATTTGCCATTATTTTTGGTAATTGTGTTAGAGATTTAATAACTGTTTCATTTTGCTGTGACTTTTAGCTTGGGGCAAATAAATTAAAAGTGTAATTTTGCTTTGGGCAAAAATTAAAACTGTTAACTTACAGCTTAAAATATTGTTGACAAAAATTAAATAAAATACAAATGAGAAAGTGAGAGTATGTACGGAAAATGTAATAGCCTTCCGTGCATGCTGTGTTTGATGAAAACATCTTGGAAAACAGAATATTTGCAATTTTTTGGCTTTTCTACAGTTCGGCCGATCTTCCCTATGACAGCTATATGATATAGTTGTGCGATGTTGATATGATTTACCATATATATATGAGGGACATAGTGAAATGAAACACAACAAGACAAGATCGAAAGATCGTTCCTATATGTAATACCTATCAGATTTATGATATAGGTGTCCGATCCGTCCGGTTCCGCCTTTCGTACTCCCTGCAACAGAATGACGGACCTATGCAAAAGTTCCAAGACGATACCTTTAAACTGAGAGATTACTTCGCATAGAAACAGAAAACTCGGCTGTTGATGTTGATCTAGGTTGGAGATGTCTCCTACTATGCTTAACACATTTAATGACAAAATTATGATACCCTCTGCAAGGGTATAATAAATACAACTTCGATATTATATAGCATATAAAATTAGTCCTCTTTTCTTACCTCGTAAAAACAATGGCTAAATGAAATATTTTGAAATTTGAAATTTACAAAAACTAAGCTGAAAAGCCTAATTGTTACACAAATGTTGTCATAAAATAATTAACAATATGTAATTGAAAATGTGCCATTCGAAAGTGAAATGAACATGTGTTATTCAAATGTTTCATTTCCTTGAGCCTATACAGAAAACCTATCAATTCTTTCCTCAGTTAAACGTTTCAAGTCTGAGGTTTTTGGCTAAATCCTTCAACAACAATCCCTTCGGTTCAGGTGTGACATCATTTTGTAGCATGGCGACATTTACATTGCATCGCAATTTAATTCCGGCTTGCGATTAAATGTCAATTAAATGCGCCATTCAATTTACAGCCAGAATAAACCATTTGAAAAATACCTGCAAATCGCATAAACCTCAACGACAATAACAACACAAGCTAAATGTGAAAATTAAAATGTTTATGTTTTTCAGTCGAGGCAAATTAAATACGTTTAACAAAACCAAACATTTCCATGTGCATTTCGTTCGAGTTTCTTGAACTTGCGGTCAATTTGGGTTTGAAATTCAAAATAGCTATTAAATCAATGCCAAAGCCAATTCACAGGCCAAGCAATGAAAACAAAATTGTTTTAGTGAATGAAAGTGATTTCTTAATTACACTTTCTATTTGTGTTTTGAATATATATCAAACTGTATAAAACTATATACTGTTTGTGGCTGTATGAGTGATTGATTGACAGACTGACTGACTGAATGACTGACTGACTGACTGACTGACTGACTGACTGATTAATTGACTGATTAGTCAACAACACTCGGCCCAATCCGTAGGATCTAGGAAGCTGATTCCACCCGCAAGTCGGCCTCAAACTTAAATACGTTTAAATTTCCCATGAACTAGAACTGAGCGTCGGACCAGCAATAGAAATAACGCTGGTTCAAATCTGATAGCAATTTTCAACTGTAATGTTTGTTTATTCAATTTGTTGATATACTCAAAGTAAAGGCAAATAAATG